TCATAAGTCTCATATCCAAGATCTTTTTGACTGCCACTCTTCTCTCCTCCTCATCCTTACTGCAGAGCATTGTCTGCAGAACTGCCTCGGGATGAGCATACCAGGAAGATCTCACAGTCTGCTCCACAATCTGAACAACCTTCCTTGGCTGACTCCTCAGGAGCTCAAGCTGGAAAAGAACATGCCTCGGACCTTCGGAGAACGATGACTTGATCTTGGTGTTGAACCAATTTGGCAAGTAGACACTCACGATGAATTGGACAATAAGTCTCAGGCTGTGAAGCTGGTTCCCTTTCAGTTTATGATGAGCGACCCAAATTCTGCAGAACCTGAGAGCCGTTGTGAGCCACCTAGAATGTGAGACTGGACCTATCTGCAGGTAAGCAAGTCTATCAGGCATGACCCCAGTTTTGATGGCACTGAAAATCATGTAACCATAGTACTGGTCAGTACTCAGGTCGTCAATGACCATATGTGCAAGCTCAACGAGTGGAGGGCCAACTGTGATTTTTTCAAAGCTCGGATTTATTTCTAACTCAGTGGCAGAGTCCAGCATCTTGCCAAGAGGACCAGACCATCTGTTGTTTGAAAGAGTCTTGCCATCCAGCTCCTGGATCAGATGTCTGAGTGGCAACTCGTTGGTGTGGAGGTCACAAACAATCCAGACCAGCTTCCTCCCAATCTTCCGCTCTATCCACTGTATGACCCCCCTTGCCACCCTGTGTTCGTGTTGGTGCTGTCCCCTCCAATGGCCTGCAGGGTCTGGTCTACGTTCCTCTCTCTGAGCCAGTTCACAATGTTATCTGCCACTATCTCAGCTGGTTTCCTGATGTCATCTTTCTCTGGAGTGAAATGCCACAAATACTTCCCTCCTGGTTCACTGCAGCAGGAGTAGTGTTCCTCCTTCACCATGGCAGGGAACAACTTGTCAGAATCTCCCAACTTTCATGAACACTTTAGTGTCATCCCTTCTCCCATCAAAGAACAAACAATTGATTCCATTTTCTCTGATCCCCTTATCAAACTCCTCTTCTAGGTTACTGACAAGTTTCTCCTGAGCTCTCCTTACTTTGTTATGATCTATCACCAGGTGAACATCATCAGGTGTTATCAAACCACCGTCAATCCAGGCAGCTGTTGCTATCTCTGCAGTTTCTCTGAGACCAGTGTGGTGTCGCATGCTGGCCAGAGCTATGCTCGGGATATCTTTTCTATTTCGAATCTTATGCCTGGAAGGTTTGGGATCATTATTTTCTGGGTTAGGGACAAAGTCACCATTCTCCTGGTCAGCACTCGGATCAGCCATGGGGAAGTCATTAAACTCTGAATCAGCTTGACTCCAATCATCGGCCTTTTTTACCTCACCCTGGGCCTTCTCAAGTCTCTTTTCCTCGGCAACTCTTCTCCTCTTCTGTCTCTCTGTGGCAGCCTCCTGTCTCTTGGACTCCGGAATATCTTGGCTAGAAATCATGAGAGCCCCTATACTGCCAGTCTTCTCTCTCTGTGCTTTGACAAATGCCAGTTCGATCACAGGAATCTTCAGTTCACGCTTGCAAATACAGGAGATGTGGGCCTCGGATTTACAGTCACGATCGCATCCAAACTCAGGACAGAGAACAATTGGGCACTTGCAAGTAATTATGTCAAATAACTGGTCCAGTTGCTTGGCAAAGCTGTCCTTAACTGCAAGTTTTCCTCTCCCAAGAGAGATATCCCTTGCCTTTTCCCAACTGGCTAGCAGTCTCTCTTCAATCTTCTTCTGACTTGTTATGACTGGAGGCTTGAACTGAGCGTTAGCCAGAGTGTACTGTGCCAAGACAGCTTTGGTCATATCACTGGCAATGTCTTTGTTTGGTTCTTTTCACTGATTTGCCTGATTAAAACACCGTATCTCAAAGCATCTCTCAATGTAGGCAACTCCGACTTCAGGAGCTCTCTCCCAGACCCAAGATAGTGACTGAGATGGCTGGATTTTTGGTTCCTCGTCCTGACACAAGCAGCCATCGCAAATATTATCAACTTATAAATGCATCAGAATCTGAAACAGAAAAAAATATTGTTAGTTGGGTTGTTAAAGAATGAAGTCAGAAAGCAATGTTCACTATTTAATTGTAATGCACTAATGCAGCTGTACGTTAGATTTTCGATAAATTTCACGCTAAAATTTACCTAGCAAAAGGTTGCAAAATATTGAAACTGAAATTATTTCCTGTTTATATACACTAAAATCTACCAAAAAAGTGATGGGCCATTAGTTTTAGCTGATCTTCCCTCCTATGACACACCCTAATGGGTATGAATGATGACCTCTAAAATCATGACCGTGAGAGTATTTCGTATTACAACCTTCATATTTACCTTTAATTTATAATTGCTCTATTTCTATTATTATGGATGAAATAAAGTTTTTCTCAGTAGCTTTATTTAAACATCTTTTGTTATTGATGTTTTAAGAGTGTGTGTGAAACCATGCAGTAGGTAAAAGGAAGTCAATGTAATCTGATAATATTGCACTTTATTGACATACAATATAAAAAATCTTTAAAAAAAAAATACTATTTTATTTACAAGTGAAACTCTAAACATACCCTATCTAAAAACCTTCAAAGTCAAGTTCATGGCTAGCAGGCAAATGTAGGTCGTCATAAGGGTCCGACTCCGAATCACTGGTTTTGTCTTTGTCTTCGTTGTTGCTGTCCTCTCTGTCTGAACTTCTCCACAACATATCGTCTTCTTCACCATCCATGTATTACAGATGCCACATTTCTTGAAGGACTTTGTGATAACTTCTACTCAAATGGCATCCCAAGATTTGGCAACGAATTCGCACAGTGCATCAAGTGGTGGAGCGCGCATATTCCCGCCCTTTGTGTACGTCTTGTCTCCCTCTACCATCCACTTGTTCCACTCTGCATGAACATTTTCTTTAAATGGCATGTTAATGCTGACATCTAAAGGTTGCAGAATAGATGTTAAACCTCCTGGTATAACAGCTTGTTTGGTGTTGAGGTGGTTTAAGCACTTCTTGATATTCTTGGTCAAGTGTGGGCTAAACCAGTCCCACACACTTTGCACAGTCCACCTGGCCTCTTATTCCACACATTTTTAATCCACAATTTCACTCCATATTCATCCATCCACACGAACAAAAACACTTGGAGGGAATATTAATTTTGGCATGGTTTTCCGTTTGAATAGTACCATAGGCTTCAGTTTTGTACCGTCACTTATGCAACTCAACACTACAGTGAATTTTGTTTTCTCGTGTCCTGTACTTTTCATCATGATGGTTTTTGCTCCCTTAGAATCAACTGTTTTATTGCTGAGCATATCGAAAAATAGAGGGGTCTCGTCCATATTGGCAATTTGACACAGCGAAAAGTTGTGTCTTCCGTTGATCGATAATATACCGTTGAAAAGCGGTGACTTTGTGTTCGAGATCAGCTGGAAGCTTTTGAGCTATTTTGGTCTTCTGCCACAACACCAAATCATGTCTTCTCATAAACCTGGAACACCAGTTTGGGGTAACCTTGAAATTTTGACTCGAGTCTGGATTTGCTTTTGCCCACTTGATACTTTCCACTCGGATGTTATTTCTTGTTATTCCGATTCCATTTTGTCGGTGTTCACGGATCCACTTGCTGAAATGTTCTTCTATTTCTGGCCACTGAGCTTTGCCATGTCTTAAGGCACATTTTTTCTTTGCCATTTTACTTGTTGTATCTTTGTTCTTCTTCCAATCCCTCACAAGTTTTTCACTAATTCCATAATCCCTTGCTGCTGCTGCACAGTTATTTGTAGAGCTGGCACACGCAATAACCTTCAGCTTGAAACGAGCTTCATACTTTGTTCGTTTGGCAGGAGGGGCCATGGCTGTCAGCTGTCTGGTTAGTGGTTGTGTGTGGACTGTGGTGGAATGAGCAGGAAGTCAACTGAGTTAAGTGTTGTGATTGTTGGGTCATTCACTAATGACGTTGTGTGTGACGTCATGTATAGAGTGGCTTGTTTGACTGTTTACCTGTTTATGTATGTGTTTTAATGGTTGACATGGTCCTTCACAGCACTTGACAGCTGCTGGAGTTGGGGAGTCGACTTATATGGTAGGTATACCTCTATGACCAGATTTTTTTGCTTGAAAAGGGGGGGTCAACTTATATGCCAGGTCGACTCATACGCCGCCATATACGGTAATGTATTTTATTGGGGAAGGGAGGCTGGGGAACGTAACTCCCATATTTTATCTATTTCTTATGGGGAAAATTTATTCCAGTAATGTTGTTTCCGTTAACGGTTTTCAGGAACGGAACCACGACGTTAAGCGAGGACTTACTGTATTGTTTAGTGCAGGAACAGGCAAATTAATTAGGCTTTGACGAGTGATATTTGCGGCCATGGAACCTAACCCCCCTATTCCCCATAAGCCTTTAATCTTGCCTAGTGCAGAGTTGGCAACCACGGGATTTTGGGGTTCTGGGGGAATCTAATCCCTGCGGTTGGTGAAGGACTACTGTATTTAATTGTTATTTTTTTTTATTAACACATTATTATTCCCACTTTTAATTTTTTATTATTCTAAAGTTTTATAAACAATACTGTATATATTTTTTCTCAGTAACATTAGAATATTGGAATTATATATTAAATATTCTTTATTTCTAAGTCATATTAAAAAAGTGAAATGATGTATCCACAACTATAATGGTTTTCTATGTAAATAAACACAGCGGTAGACAGTGCTCGGCCAAGAATTATGAATTTTTCACTGCAAAATTTAAGAGAGATGGTGATAGAGGTACCCATGAATTTGTATTTCGCAAATTATTGCGACCACTGCATACATACATACATACATACATACATACATACATACATATATATATATACTGTACATTACGTGTATTAAAAGTTAAACTTGGTTCTCTTTTGTATTGATTTTTAGTTCATATTTAACTGTGGTTCAGTATTAGAAAATCTAATTTATATATTATGGTTGATTTTAGGACCCAGACATCTGCTGAGCATGGGGGAGTTGGTCCTATCCCATACCCTCTACTGTCAGACAAGTCAATGTTGCTGTCACGCGAGTATGGAGTATTAAATGAAGCAGATGGAGTAGCTTATCGCACTCTAGTCATAATTGATGACAAAGGTGTGATTCGAGAGGTGGGTATATTTTTTGAGAGTGGAGAAATGTTTTGTTGGTGTAAAACATGTACTTGATGGCCACACACACACCTGCTGAGTTTAAGATATAAAGCTATGTGATATTGTAATATGTATCTGAAGCATTTCTCACCAGGTTTATAAAGTTTACTGGCAAGCTGAGCAAATTTAAGTACTGTACAGTATTTTATGTTATTGGTTGGCTTGGAGAGATGATAGGCATTTTAGGTGGAACAATGAATACAGACTGGAGCAGATACAACGGTGTGTTATCAATTATGATATTGAGCATAACACATTGCAGGGAAAGTTTGTTAAGAAACCTAACGTTTGGGGAAGTTTTTCAAAATGATATCTGGCAAATATATTACATCATATTGTATCTGAGAAGTGACCAACCTACATTATACCAGTGTGTAGTGTGCAGGCTGAAGGTCACCTCCTGTCAGGATACTGAAGCTCAGTAATGAAGGCTGGCAACACCTTTGTTCCTGCCTGAAGTCGTCTTATGTTGAAAAGACCATTCACCCAGTACCTGATGTCCACCTTGCCGGCTAAATTTGCGCTTGCTCGATTAAGGAAGGCAGCCAAGAAAATGGAAAAGACAGTTGGTGCCAGTACACACCTTTGTAGCTGTTTCCGGTTACCTAAGCTTGACTGATAACAGGTAACTTAGTAGTTACAGATAAAAATGTTTATGGGTTAAGTTTGAAAAACCCAAATGGTCTTTTCACCATTTATTTATAAAAATATACACTGCACAGTCAACAAGGATATCACCGTAATTAACACTGTAAGCTGAGAGTGTTAAAGGAGGGCGGAAGCTTATCTGGGATGAACTTTTATATCACACGTCCAGCTATCGTGAAGTTTGAGTGGTAACTGGCTGCAAGTCGGCTCAAGGGAGCTGAGTTAGCATCCCTAGAGACGCTACCTCGCCAATGGAAAACTACTAATCACATGATCAAATTATGACACTCTGCTTATGGAAAATTACAGGGATTTTGAAATTATATAAGGCTGATGTATTTACCCATATTTATATAAGTACTGTACTACTGTCTATTAGACAGGGGCTAATACACCCTTGTTTAATCCCCGTATAGATGAGGAAGAACTCAGACTGGGTGCCATTGTGCAGGACACTTCCTTTCATGCCAACGTGGAATTGCCTCACAATAGCAATGAATTTTGGTGGGCAGCCAAAACGGCTGAGGGTCCACCAGAGAGCTTCCCTGTTGACCGAGTCTAAGGTCGATGAAAACCATGTACAGGTCACTGCGCTGTTCTCTGCACTTCTTCTGTATCTGGCGGGCAGCAAAGATCATGTCAGTGGTGCCATGCGATGGCCTAAAGCCACATTGAGATTATGGGAGGAAGTTTTCCGCCTCAGGAAGAAGTCTGTTTAGGGACACTCGGGCCATAATCTTGCCAGCTATGGACAGCAGCGAGATCCCGCAGTAGTTGCTATAGTCTGACGGGTCTCCCTTATTCTTATAAATATTGACAATGGAGGCGTCTTTAAGAGCTTGGGGAATATCCTCCTTTTCCCATAAACAGTGGTCCTTCGGTTAACGAACGGTTCGGTTAACGAATTACCTTCCAAAAGAATCTTCAATTCGGTTAAAGAACAAAAATTCGATTAACGAAATCCTTACGAACATCACGTTTTATTGTGAGCATCAGCTGGTCAGCTGATGGGCTACTCAGCCAATTCGGTAATCTGTTCTATGTTTACATTCATTTCCAGTGGAGTAAATATCAATAAAGTTGTGCTCTTTAATATTTTTGCATTTTTTATATTAAAATTATTAGTCATTTTAACATTTATTTAACATATTGATAATATATGCAGTACTGGGAACTATTTTGTTGTGCGCCCAGCAGCGGCTTGACTCAGCCACAAGGTGTCAGTTGGGTTCTGTTGACAGTGGAATAAACATCTATTTTGTTGGTGTCTTGAATATTTTTGCATTTTTTATTGAAATTATTGGTCATTCTGAAATTTAGTTAACATATTGATAATATATGGTACAGTGCAGTGTTGATTTAAATAAAATAATCTTGAATTACACCTAGTGAACTTAAAATTTTATTGGTGAAATGACGGCATCAAGCATGGGTCCCCTGAGAGGTGATTTCTCTTCCATCCCCACTTCCTTCTCTTCTCCCTTCTCCTCCACCCCCACTTCAAATAACTATCATCAACATCAACCAGGAACCTTCTACATACACACCTTAAAGTACTGTAAGTGTACTTCTACTGCATTTTTTTTTTTTTTTTTTTGTAGGTACTTTTCGTTGAGCTGGAACCAATTACCCAATATCCCATTGAAACAATGGATTCGGTTAACGAACGACCCTCTGGAACAAATTATGTTCGTTAACCGAGGGACCACTGTACTGTATTCTCTAGGAGAGAGTGGAGACGGCTGGTAAGCAGAGGTCCTCCTGCTTTATACACCTCGACTAGGATTCCATCAGGCCCTGAGACTTCATTATTTTTCATCTGTTTGATGGCAGTAGCTACCTCATCTACGGATGGAGGTTAGCTAAGGTGGGTCAGTTCTGGATGCTGAGGGACCTGCTGGGTAGTAAGGACATCCACATCGGTGTTTCAGTTGAGCAATGCACGGTAGTGTTTGTTATACTATTTCCAATAGAATGATAGGGTTGGTATTAACAACGAGTAAGGGTGGACTTAACTATTTAATAATTAAAACACATAACAATGGTATGACACACGGCAGCACTTCCGCGCCACACGGCAACACTCGCACAGCACACGGCTCACAGCAGGATTCCCACGGCTCATGGCAGGATTCCCACAGCACACAGTTCACGGCGGGACTCCTGCAGCACACGTTTCATTACAGTACTCCTACAGCACACGGTTCACGGCAGGATTCCCACAGCACACGGTTCACGGCAGGATTCCCACAGCACACGGTTCACGGCCACACTCCCACAGCACAGGGCTCACAGCATTACTCCCACAGCCTACTGCTCACGGCAGGATTCCCGCAGCACACGGCTCACAGCAGGACTCGCACGGCTCACGGCAGTACTCCCACAGCACATGGCTCAGTGCAGGATTCCCACAGCTCACGGCAGGAGTGTTGACCGGGCCAGGCCAGAAGTTCGACTCCCGGAGGTGAGGTCGGTGGAGGCTAACTCACCCTCATCACACCACCTCGTAGTCCCATCTCATTGGCCAGTCCCGCTTTGACACGCTGTGATGTTGATTGACGTCAGTAATTGCTGTTTGAACCGGCCCAACGAGTCCTTAACCTGATGGTCCTCAGTTATGGCATGACATTTGCCCCTGCTAAAATAGATTTTTCTGTAGGAAAGGAAAATTACACACTTCTATGGGCCCTGTTTCCGACGTTGGTTCATCTACTGATTATGTGTGAAAATATCCCTTACCATTAGTCTAGGAAGAAGATCAGCTCCGACATTTGCATTTCCTTTGATATATCAAATCGTGAAATTGAATTGTTAGAGGTATAACGCCCACCGTGTTAATCTTGCATTTGAGTTTCGAGAGGTGCAGAGGCTTGTTAAGGGCATGTGATGTGTTTCTAAGAAAAACATTTCACCTTATAAATAAAAATAATATTTCTTCATACCTTCCTTTTCAACCGTGCTGTAATTCTTCTCTGCAGACTATAGTTTTCTGCTATGGTATACCACCAGATATACCTCGCCCTCGTTTTCTTGTAGAAGAACAGCTCCGATCCCGTCCTGAGAAGCGTCTTTTCTCAGAATGAAAGGTTTATCAAAATTAGGCAACTGAAGAATTAGTTGGCAGATTTTTCAAGGTGTTGAATGAATCTTCGTGGCGAGATGTCCATTGGAATTTGTTTGGTGCATGTTTATCAAAAGTTCGATGAGTGGTATAGCGATCACTGCGAAGTTTGGGATGAAATCCCTGTAGTATCCGGCAAGGCCCAGGAAGGATCTTACTTGCCTTTTCGTGGTGGGTCTCTCAGTGTCCTGAACCTTCTTGATCTTGTCTCGCTGGCAACTGCATCTACCTCCTCCCACAGTGTGTCCCAAAAATTGAACTTGATCTCGGCTTAACGGTAAGGTTGAAATCTTGAAGCCTCTGGAAAACTTGTTCAAAGATAATGACATGCTCTGCAATTGTGGCAGTGTGAATGAGGATATCATCCACGAAGACTTCCACTCCGCAAACATCTTGCAGGACCTTCCGCATTGCTCTGTTGAAAACAGCAGGACTGTTAACGAGGCCAAAAGGGAGAATTGTGTACTGGTACAACCCATTAGGGGTGCTGAAAGTTGTAATTGGTCGGCTGTCTGGATGAAGAGGGATTTGGAAAAAACCTTTTGTTAGATCTAATTTGGAGAATACTTTTGAGCCGGATAGTCTGGAGAATATAACCCTCTGGTCACACACAGGCTCTGCATCCGCCTTGGTGATAGCATTCACCTGCTGGTAATCACCGCAAATTCTCACACCTCCATCCTTCTTATGGACTACTATGAGGGAACTGCAATACGATGATGAGGTCTTTTCAATTATGCCTCCTGCTTCCATCTTTCCAATTTCTTGCTTGACCGGCCCCACCAGTCTCTGAGGAATGATATATGGCTTTACCCGTATAGGTGTTGAACTAATTAATTGTATGTTATGATTATCAACCAAGCCAACTTTAGGCTAGTCCGAAAAAATATCTGAAAATCAGCGTAGAAGGTCATAACTTGTTCTTTCTCCCGGTCATAGAGATTTGTCCCCGGGTTATATTATCAACTGTCTCCAACTGCTGGGCTTGTACAGTGATAAGTTCATGGTCACTGGTAGGGACCACGGCTGCTGTACAAGTGATGGAGTTATCTGGGCAGTAGTGAACCCTCACTAGGTACTGCTGTTGTTCAGGTGACCATTCACGGAATACAGGTATTCCTAAGGATGGATAAGCCTGCTGGTAATATTCTGGAATACATTTCCATGCAATAGCCGCACCCCTTTCTTC